TCTATATCTAGGAGGACTATATATTGCAGCAATTTCGAAGTCCCAAGGCCTGGCATTTATATTAAGTATTGTTGCTTGAATCTCATTTGTTTTATGTTGTTGTTGTATATTGTTCCTTATAATTATTGCGGATCCTCCATGGGCTGTTCCATCTGGGTGACTAGTGTGGTAGACTGAGTATTGAGGTATTTTAATGACGCTTCTTTCTGTGAAATGCGTTTCAGATACAAGAAGGATGTCTATTTTGTTGTCCTTTAGGAATTGGATTACTTCTGTTTTATGGTTTGCTAAACCATTTGCGTTCCACTCGGCGATTCGAACAGATCTAACGAATTTTGTTAATTAATGTTGTTAGCATGGTAAGGATCATGCTGTTTTGATCCATTAGTTGGGTAAACATTGCTTTAAATTCGTTTAAGAATAAGTTCATTTGAGACCCTATGTCAGCTACTTGATTTCCTGCTCTTACTGCTTGGGCATAGGATTGGGTTCCATTCTGTTGTTGGTACTGTGATTGTTGACTCTGGTACTGTGAAGTTGGTGCTGGGTTAACATTTTGATGTGGGTTCGGATTATTATGGGTCGACTGATTTCCGCTTTGGCGATTATTTCTTGCATTTTGTAAGTCCTTGTAAATTACACAGCCTTTATAGTTTGCAGTGTGTTCTCCTGTACACAGGGCACATTTTGCTGGTGTATTTCTGGGTTTTGTACATTTTGGTGATGGGTGACTTCCTCCGCATTTCACGCATGCGTATGGTCTTGTACAGTACGCTTTTGTGTGTCCATAACGTTGACAGCGCTGACACTGTGTTATATTGTTCTTTTTGTGAGGGGGTTCAAAGCTGACTTTCATATTGCCGATATGATCCAGTGTATAAATGTGTTTGTTGTTTTCTTTGGGTTCTAGGTCCATATAGAACATTGACAAAGGTGTTTTATTGACTCTGTGCAAAACGTTAATGATATTACGGACAGTATGTCCCGATTTACCTAGTTCACTTTTTATTTCTTCAACCGGCATCGAGTGGTGTAAATTCCTTATAACTACCCTATAAGCTCTATCTTGTTTTGCTTGGTATGTGTGGTGAACTATTTTGTTGCTATTTAAATGCTGTATAAGTTTTCTGTATGATTCTATAGTTTTGGGGTTTATTTTTATTGTATCATTTGGAAGAGCTTTCAACTGGTAGTCTTCAGCTTTAATGACTGTTGATAGGTTTTCAGTCATTTTTTTAATATCATTTACCCCATAGATAAATATAGGTGGAGGTTTAGGTGTTACTGGTGTGTTATTACTATCGTTTAAGTTTTCTAATGGTTCAAATCTGTTGTTTGTACTCTCTTGCGTTGTTGTGTTGTCATCTTTGGGGTTTGCCTTCCTTTTTTTTTGTAATTTTTTTGACTGTTTGCCAATCGTGAACGTTTTCTATGGTTTCGTCGTCTTGGTCGCTCGAGTTTTCCATGACAGTTTCCTCTTCGCTGAGGGTGTATTGGGTGGCATTTGATGTATTTGGTTGAACCATTGGAGGTGCAGGAGGGTTTAGGTTATATTGGTGATTATTGTTTAGGAATGGAGTAGCCGGTATATATTGGTTTGTTACCTGTTGGACTCGGGATTCGGGACTCGGGGTTGCTCGGGAACCCATAGAATGGGGGCGATATTATTGGAGGTTGTTGAGGCTGGGTATATATTTGGGGCACATTATACAACTCCCCATTTGGCACTTGATTTTGTAAATTTTGGTGGTACATTTCCTTAGTATAGTGCGCCACTGGTTAAAAATTACTCACATAAATAGTTATTTAAAATTAATCACTTAAGAATAGTTATTTACTTTTATTTTTATTTCACTAATTATCAGCAATAAACTAGTCCCGGCCGATAGCCGAGGCCGGCAGAAAAACTTGAAACTTGAATCTCGAGAGCGATATGAGTACGTGTTTACTGCTCGGAATTCAAATACGAACTTATATATATATATATATATATATATATATATATATATATATATATATATATATATATAATATATATATATAATCTATTTGAATAATATTTTTGGGTATCTGTCTTTTTTTTTGTGAATTTTGAAAGATTTTTTAGTGGCCTAAGATTTGTACCACGCGACCCAAAGAATTTATATTGCTTCTACGGGGCTATGTGGTACATACGTTGTGCCATGACACTGCCTGGTATTCAAGGACAAAGTAACTGTCTCGAGAATCAAGCGACTCGTGCAAGCCAGTCTGTTGTTAGCTCCTTAGATGAACAGAGTTTTTGACAATAGCAGTGTAGTAAAGTAAATGTAAACAAGGTGTACGCACAAAGGGGAACACGAAAAGGGGCAGAAACGCATTTTTCAGTTGTGGGAAGAACTAATATCGGATAAGGAAAGTAATTCTGTAATAATAGGTGATGTTTATTCGTCTGATGCTTATTCTCCTAGTTCGCAAGCTTCGAGTGACTCAGAATATGAAAATAGCGATGTTAGTGCAGTTTTTGTCCCAAAAAAACGTAAATTATGTCAAGAAATAAATGTTATAATCGATTCCGGTGCATCTTCAAGCAAAGCAAATAGTTTATCCTGCCTCTAATGATGTTGGAGATTTTCTGATTAGCTCACAAACAGGGTCAGATAATATCCATTCAAATTTTCTAAATGTAGACAATGTTATTGAATACGTAATTTCCCAGTACAGAGCTGAAAGTGACCCAGAAAATAAAAGTAATCATCAAGATGACCTAATTAACTTAAATAACTTACAGTGGAACCATGTTGACGGATCATCTTTCAAGAATTGTGTCTTTGATGGAAAAGATACAGGAGTTAGAGCTCAAATATATGAAGATTATATAATTATGGTAATCATGGTTAACGAAACCAATCTATGGTGAGCAGTGTTTGGCGAAAGGACACAAATGTATAAATTGCCCACTATACGATCGTATTGGAAAAAATCATTATTATATCAAAATGAAATCAGCCGTCTTATATGTCGAGGAACCGTTATTGCTGAGTAAGTGGCAGTTTAGCGATAATAATAATATTGCTTTTGCAGACGACAGACTTCGCAAAATTAGTCCTCTCCTTACAGTTCTTTTAAAAAAGTTTAAAAAAGTGTGCATTGAAGAGACCATGGTACCATTTCGTGGTCGACTACGATTTAGGCAATACATAAAAAATAAAAGGCACAAGTTCGGTATAAAACTATACAAGTTGTGTACGGAAGGAGGGTACACTTATAATCTTAGGGTTTCTGTGGAGCAGATACCGAAAATGGTGGTCAAGCATCTTCGAATGTAGTGTTTGGAATGTCTAATGGACGATATTATTGACTTATTTGTTCCGCTCAAAAAATTTAAAACAAATTCGTTTCCGGTTTGGTTTGATGGTAAATTAAGGCTAAAAAATCAATGTTATACTAACAATTGAATAATATTGAAAATGGAATTCTATATAATCCTCGACATTTATAAATAGCGAATGAAAGAGTTACAATTTGCCATCTAGTATGCCCTATGGTGATAGTACAGGTGATCATGGTCAATACATAGTTCATTTATTTGGTAATTTTTCTTCAACTACATATTCTAATTCTAAAATTAATAAGATCCCAATTTTTACCTATCAGAGTGTCAATGTGAATAATTATAATATTAAGCTGTCCCAAATAATTGATAAGTTTTTAAAGATGCCTTGGAAATTATCTCTTGGGCCAGATTGTTTGCCAGCTTATGTACTCAAGAATTGCATTTTTCTCTTGTAAAACCTATCCACTACTTATTTAATTCATCATTGTGTAATGGTATCTGTCAGGATTTTTGGAAAACTAGTTATTTAACACCAATCTTTAAGTCAGGCAATAAAAATGATATTCAAAACATGGGATTGTAAAGATTTAATTGATGTTCACCAACATGGCTTTTCTAAAGTTAAGTCTACATGCACGAACTTAATATTGTATACTAATTTTGATGCTAATTCAGTTGAACATATGGGTCAGGTTGATGTTATCTATACAGACTTCTATGAAGCCTTCAAAAGAGTTAACCATGATCTGCTTATTGCTAAATTACAAGGCTATGGATTTGGAGGTAAAATACTTTAGTGGATAAGTAGTTGTGTCTGGTAGATGTCAGTATGTAAAATATGGAAATTGTTTATCTCAGCGAGTATCTGTGACCTCAGGAGTTCTGCAGGGGTCCCATATTGAGCCTCCCTTATTTAATATATTTGTTAATGATATGTTATTAGTCATTAAAAGTAGTAACTTTTTTATGTCCAGTTGATGCCTCTTTGTTACAAAACGATCTTAAAAGATTAGCTAGTTGGTGTAAATATGCTATACTTAAATATAAACAAATGTTTTAAAATTACTTTTTGTAGATCAAGGGAGTTGGTAAATTATTGTTATTGTATAAATAATGTACCTTTAGAGGCACGTAATAATATCACAGATTTGGGTATAAACTGTGATTCTAAATTACTAAAACTTTAAAAATGATATGTAATGATATATGATATGATAAATGATATGATAAATAAGAGTATGGTTCTCTTATTTGGTCTCCTTCAATAGTGACTTCTACAGTACTAGAGAGTTCAAAATAAATTTTTGAGGGTATATGCTTACAAGTTTGGTTTTATCGGACAACAATATATATTGGATATATTGAAGAACAAGAGTTACTAAGTTTAATAAGTTTTAATGATAATATTAGAAGAACTCGTATTACTCGGATTACGAATGAGAATATATATATATATATATATATATATATATATATATATATATATATATACATTGTTTCTTTATATTTCATTTCATCATTTCAATACTTTTTAAAATTTAGGTTTTTGTATTAGTCTAGACATACATAACAGTTGACATCTGAAAACATAAAATTTCAAAGTGCAGCAAAGATTGAAAAAATTCTCAATAGAGGGCACACTAATCAGTAATAATAGAATTAGAGCACAATAGAAAAAATTTACCTTGAATAGGGACTTCTATTTTGGGTTTGTTTACTTCAGAAGGCGAAAAACCAATAACAGGTGTCTCCAGAAGTTGTTCTGCACTACTGCCTAACTGATCTACATTTTCTGATTTGGATTCATCAAGATTTGCACCATCCTTTGATTCAGGACTTGACAGTAACTGATTAACATCAGGAGATGATGTATCACTAGTCAAATTATTATTTTTGGAAATTTCTGTCTTTACTTTGTTAACTTCAGCAGGTGAATTACTATTGATGGAATCAGTTTCCACAACTTCCAGCTTTTCAACAACTTTATTATCAGGTTTTTTATCATATAAAGACGCTACAATTGGAGAAAAAATAGTTCCTTGAGGTTTCAATTCCTGGATTTGTTCAAGTGGATTTGGTGTTACTGTTTCTGTAGGCACAACAGGAAGAAGTTCTATTTGGTCCATATTAGGCAGAGTAGTAGCATCAATAGGTAACTCAGTTACAGTTTCAGTGGATTTTTCCTGAACTTTAACCTCCTGAGAAACATCTATAACATCAATTATACTTTCTTTCAACTTAATATTCTCCATGGAACCTTGTTCTGGTTTATCAGCAGCACTTTCCATATTTTTATCGATATTATCAGTGATCAGTTTATTGTTGGTTCCAGTAACGTCTGTTTTAGTTGGATCATTCTGTTCTGTTTTACTAACATCAATTACTTCTTCAGAGCCAGTGCTTTTAATGCCATCCCCACTTTTATTTACTTCAAAACCTTCATCTTGTTTTTGTTTTTCTACAGTAATGTCATTTGCTGTTTTCAATAGATCAACATCTGATGTACTTTCTCCAGAATCCTCCTCTTTTTGTTTCGAATCATTGAATTTATTATTTGCTTCACTTTGACTAACTTGATTATTATTAGACTCATTTTCACTTAATTCACTTTTCTTTGATTCACTTTGAGCAACTTGGTCTTTACTAAGTTCATCTTTCTTCAATTCAGCTTGACCAACTTGATCTTTACTAGATTCATTTTCACTTATTTTGTTGTTCTCTGATTCTGTAGGTTTCTTTTCTCCACTTTCTTCTATTTTATTTGGTTTCATTTCAGGCTTATTTTTAGATTCTGCTGAATTTTCTTTAACTTCAACAACATGTTCTTTGGGGATTTCTTCAACAGTGTTGCCTTTTTCTACAAAATAAAAAATAAGGTAAATAGTACAAAAACCATGAAAAAATTCAAAGTAACACAACAGTGAACAAAATTCAGAATCAGAAAAATAGAAGAAAAGGGAAAAAAAGAACACACAAAAAATTATTCAACAATTGGGAAAGGTAAAGGATTAATTTATTAGTGATGACAATCATTGAGTCAAACAAGACGAAGATGATTATAAATAAGTTATTTTTAATAACATATAGAATATTACCAGAATCTGATCCAGTCAAATTTTCTTTAGAATCTACATATACATCTTCTTCATCATCCTCTTCTGCATCTTCCTCATCATCACTATCTTCATCATCGTCATCTTCTTCATCATCTTCGGGTGATTCATCATCATTTATCCAATTTTTAATTGAGGACAATACTCCACCTACAACTGAATCTTCATTTTTTACTTCTGTTTCTAGAGTTGGCTGTGGTAATTTTTCTGTCTGACCATCTTCTTTATCATCTAACAAAAACACATAAAAACTATTATTTAGTATTTGATATTACAATTTGATTATGCAGTCACATTTTAGCCTTTAAGAAGGCTAAAGGTAAAATTATCCATTCTATATGTACCTGCTAAGACTAAATAACAAAAATTGAACATATCAATGTTTAAAAGTCAATTGGCAATTGTTAGATTTATGAGAATTTTTTATATTTTTTTTCAAAGTAATAAATAAATAAATACTAAGAAAGAAAAAATATGTCCAAGCATCAAAGTTGGTCCGCTCTCATAAAAAGGTAAAATTTTGAATTCGAGGTTTCAATATTTAATCATCAATAGATTTATTCAGAAATAGGGAAAAGTAACACTAGGAACTGATGTGTAATAATTGCTGATAGAGAACTGAAAGAGAACAGGGTAGAAATTGTGAAAACAAGTGATATAGTAATGTCAGTATTATACAGATCACAACTGGGTATCTGTTTTTGAGACATTAGAAGTAGATAATCAGTGGGATGCTTTTATGAGTATAGTTCAGAAATTTTTTATAGAATGTTTTCCACTCAAAGAGATTAATACAGTAAATAAAAAAAAATCACAAAAGTACTTTAAAAATGATGATATAAAACATTGTAAATCTAGGCTTGATGTTTTGTTTACACTGTCTACCAATAATGTTGATTATAAATATATTTATAGGACAGAAAAACGCAAATACAATTCTTTACTCACTCAATCTCGGAAAAATTGTTATAAAAAACGAATTGAAAATAGCGAAAATAAAACTAAAATGGCTTGGCAATTGGTAAAAGAGATTAAGGGTAATTCCAAAAATCAAGGTAATTTCTGTTTGGAGGGTGACCCTCAAGTGCTTTCTAACGAAATAAATCAATTTATGGCAAATGCAGCGCCAGAAGCTGTAAAGAAAATAAAGCATGTAAAAAATTTTCAAATTAATATTGAACAAACTAATCATTGCATGTTTTTAACTCCAGTTTCAGAGAAAGAAATAAGTCATATAATAAATAACTTAAAAAACAAGCATAGCTCTGGTTATGATGAAATATCAACCAACTTAATAAAACATGTTTCATCAGAGATTTCTCTTCCTCTTTCTTTTATAGTTAATGCTTCTTTCAGGCAAGGTAAATTTCCTAAAAATTTAAAACTGGCAATTGTCAAGCCACTTCATAAAAAAGGTGATGTTACTAAGATGGAGAACTATAGACCAATAAGCCTTCTTCCATCATTCTCAAAAATATTTGAAAAAGCAATATATTTCAGACTACAAAACTTTTTTACTACAAACAACTTATTTAGTAGTTCACAGCATGGTTTTCTCGCAGGGAGATCTGTTGAGACAGCTACCTATGATTTTATATCAAAAATTTTAGAAAAACTGGAGGCAAAGATGAAAACACTGGGTGCTTTTTTGGACCTATCTAAGGCTTTCGATAGCCTAGATCATGTTCTCTTATTACTCTACTCTACTCATTGTTTTATTGACCATACAACACAATGGCAATCGCTGTGACATGTTACATGTTTCCACCTCTATATTTATTTCACAGTAGGTACGAATTGTCATAATTGTCACATGACATTAAAAATTTCAAATGAAGTTCTGAAAGAATAAACAAATAATCAATAAAATGCCTATTACATTGTATACCATCCAAGAAAAAGTGCAACTTGTAACATGGTACTTTCAGGGTCATTAGACATATGAAGTAACTAATTTATTTATTGTTGCCTTCGAAAGTAGACCCCCAACAAGTGTTACAACAGTTAAAAATACCAATAAACATTTTCAAACTTCGGGATGTGTAAACAGTTAAAAGTGTCATGAAGGTAATGAACCACATGTTAGACCTGTCAATGAGTAGTGTCAAAACAGGGATATTGATATTTGTGCTTTTGTGTAAGCTAGTGAACCCTGCAATAGTGTACAAATTGCTAGGGAAGTTAACATGAATGCTCGAACTGTCTAGCAAGTTCTCAAAAGCAATGGGTATCACTGTTTTAAGATATAACCAACACAAGAACTGTTTCCGGAAGATAACTTTAGCCAAATGGAGTTTTGTGAATTTATGTTAGATAAACAGAATGAAAATGTACACTTTTTAAAAAAATATTTTATTTTCTGACGAATCTTCATTTTCATTACATAAAAACACAATCCATCCATTGCAATGTATTACTCTCGGAAAAATAAGCACCTCAGTGTTGCAGTGCGAACGCAGTGCAACTGGACTGGACTTTGGACTGGGATGTTAGGCCACCATATTGTCGGTCCATTTTTTATTGATTGAAACCTAAATGAGCCCAAATATTTACAACTTTTATAGAATGAGATTATTCCGGCAGTTCTATGCCTTCCTGTTAATTTTCAGGAGGTTAACTTCCAACAGGATAGGTGTTCAGCTCACAACTTTAGAGCAACTATTGACTTCCTCAATCAAATGTTTCCTGATCAACTGATAAGTACATGTGGTACAATTAAATGGCACGCTAGATCCTGTGACTTAGTGCCTAACAATTTCTTTTTTTGGGGTTTTCTCAAAGAAAACATTTATAGGCATCAGTTTGAAAGGGCCACAAACCTAGTCGAATTAAGGGCAAAAATACTTCATTTCTCTGCAAGCATTACACCAGCCCTACTCCAAAATATGAGGAGAAATCTGTATGACAGATTTGGTTACTGTTTAACACAAGGAGGTGGAATATTTGAGGCCTTAATTCATTAATCTGCTTTCCTAATTTTTATGTTTTTTAGGTACATTTTGCGAAGTTTGTAGGTTCTTAATTAGGTAGTATTTTTTATGCTTAAGTTTGGAAGAATTTTATTGTTTTTTTTTATTTAAAAGTACAAACGATTCTTATTCTGATTTTTTGATACTGAATACACTGAAAATTCATGCAATTTTCAGTGAAAATAAAGCATATTACTTATTTACTTACTTATTTATTTGTACCTATTGCAATTAAGACTAAAAATAACCAAAAAATTAGTTTTAGAGCATTATAATAAATATACTCTAGAGATGGAATTGCAATAAATCTTAATTCCTATGGTCAACAAAACAATGTCTTTATCTGTATATGCAAAAATATAGTATTTTGAGCACAATTTCTGAAGTGGAAACAAAACTTAAAAATAAATATATTTTCAACTCAAGTGTGGTGAATTCTTAATAAAAATAATAAATAATACTTGTTTTAGTGCAAATTTCTGTACTAAAATAAATATTAAGCAGTCTCCACCATAGGGTACACCAAAAGTCACCCTAATACTAGCATATTAAATCTTCTTAGAGTGCCATCTCTCTATGGAGGTTGGCAATCATAATGGTTATATTTTTGCTGGTCTCAGATTAATATTGACACATTAATCATGACCCACCAGCACCCCTTCAAACTATTTAAAAGATCCCTTATTAAATACAAGTCTATTTCATGTAAAGGCTCAATACAAGTAACCTGTCGGCATACTATTACATACTATAAGTCTATAGGATTTCTTCTACTATAGAAAAAACATTTAAAAAGAGAATGTTTTACAACCATGTATTTCTGGACATCAGCCAAGCCTGTAATGACTGATAATCTAGATGAAAACATACATTAAATTTTAGTTTATTTAAATATAAATTATTTAGCTCAACCCAACCAATAATTTTACAATAAAATTTGGTATTCTGTTATTAATTTACATATCCATGTTATAAATAACTTGGCCTTCCAATACCTAGAGAAACTGGTATAAAATAACATCGAAGAAGACTATCTTCTATAGATAAAACAATGGAAAATCAAACGAAATGAAACCATCTGGTCTAAAGAACAATTATTACCCTATTAAACATATTAATACCACAAGACACAACTATCAAATAATTTGAAATATACCTAGGTATGTAATGGTAGATTATTCACAGGTGGACAGAAAACATAATGAAAAGACAAATTATAGCAGTAGATGCAACCCAGATTACATGACCTGTATTCATATGCTATGTATGAACAATAAAATTTATTAAAAACAAAAACCCAAACCACATAAAGATTACAGATACACTAAACAATAGTCTTTATTTGCTCTTTGACACATAGTTTTTACTCAGATAACATTTCACCAATAATATTATTATACATTCAACAAGAAACAAACATCAAAGTTCAGTAGAGCATAAATGTATATATTAATAGAAATCTCTAAAAATCTTAAAGAATTTACTGAGTAGTAAATATGAAAGTAGATATAAAGAAAAAGGGAAAGTAAAATTCTTAAGGCTAATAAATACCTGATATTTCTTCTTCTATAATAGGATTTTCTGTACTGGGAATTTCTTGGCTACTTATAGTACTGCTAACTGTGGATAAAATTGGATTTTCAGTGCTGCTAGGATTGATATCAGCAGGATCTAATAATATTGTGGTACCATCAACTATTTCAAAAGTTTCCTTTACTTTATCAGGATTTACTTCCTCTTCTAGAGTGTCTTGAGGCACAGATGGTTTTTGAGAGATTTCAGTTTCTACAACTACTGTTGGTTTAGTCAGCATTTTATATTCGCGTACATAGCTTTTGGGTATATAGCCCCTTTCCCCATTAATTTCAACGCCCCATAAATCAGGTCTGGAACCAGCTTCTTTGCTGAATACTTTAATGTTTGTATTGGGCCTAAACGATAACATATACTTCTCTGGCCTGTTATATCCTAATAGCGTTTTTGCCAGAGAAATTGGTTCTAAAATTAAAAATGACAAGAGAACATCAGAAGTAGGTTACATGTTATTTTGTATACCTTAAATATTGTTTAGACTTACCTGAACAGTCTTCGTTAACACATAATCTCTTGTCTGATATTAAACAATGTGTATTATAAATATTAAATAAAAATACAATAAAACATATTAACTTAAAACTACACATTTTGTCATACTTTGACAATTTGCTTCAGCTTAGGCCACATCACTTGTTTTTAAAACTATAGGTGCCATCTACCGACTGTTTTCCAGTCTGTCATTAGTGTCACAATATTTGATCAGCACTTTTTTTGCGAGTAGGTTTTAAAAAACATTAACTTCCAATAATTGTTTGTCTTATATTATATAATTTAAGTCTTATTAAATCATATAAACATTACAAGTGGATTTTTATATATTTTCTTCTTCCTCTTTATAAGCAATTCTGTTTGTTCATTGGCAGATTAATATCACTATGATGGAAGCATAGAGGTTGTCACCAGTTGTCACCGTTGTCACTCCATCTTTTTCGCGGTCGTCCGATACTTCTTCTGCCGATTATCTGCTTATCTCTTGCTATTTTGACGACACGGACACATAATAATAAACAATCAGAATGCCCGCTCTGTTTAAAACTGTAGTACGCGCATCTTGTTCGCGCGGACGGAATCACCCATGTTTTAAACGGAACCGGTGTTGTTTAGTTAAATTTTTCTTGTGTGCATAGAAAAATTAACCCGGTTTAATTTATTTACGGCAACAATAGACATAATATGCACTATTTTATTCGTACTTTCAGTTGAAGAATATAGAATATATAAGAAGCTCTTTTAGCTTCTCAAATAGAAACAAGTAAATAGTTGATCTCGCGCTTTTCAAATAGAAGCAAATTCAAGTTAATTCTATGCTATTACATAATTAAGTTCATTAAATTCCGTGTTAGTGCATCTAATATGTAAGTTCCTGAAATGATTCTTCAATACAGAAGAAAATCCGACAAATTACAGGGTTGTCGGATATACAACTACCTTTTTTGCCCTACAGTTCTCATTTATTTAATTTTAAGAACACTTAATATGAACATTAATTTTGTGTATTTTGAGAACCTTTTATATGAATATTTATGTATTTTATTATCATTTAAAAAGTTGATTTGTTGGCAATTCCAATCAATTCGATAATTGATTCGACAATCGATTTGATTTGATTTGATCATCGAGCAATAAGACAAAAGAGGGAATGTAAAGGTAGTGGGGGTAAACATATTGATAGAAAGGAAGTGCCATCTTGAGAGGCCACTTTAGACAAGGATAGACAGTCTCTTTCCTTGTTTAAGAAGTCAAATTTAGTTAGGTTATGTTATTTTTTGTCCCAACTGTCACATGAAATTTTATTTATATTGAAATCTTTTACCAATTTTGTCACTTTTTAGACTATTATAGTTAATATTTAATTAAAACTTTCTCGTCTGAAAAATATTTTATAGCTATTGTTAATAAGTGTTGGAAAATTTAAATTTAGCGCCTTTGCATTTCCGGATATGTCCGCCATCAGAGGCCACTTTTTTGGTCTCCTTTTCATAACGATTAGATTCCCTCTTTTATCTTTTTGCTCGATGGATTTGATTTAATAATCGATTTATTTCGATTTGATTTGAAAATCGATTCGATTCGATAATTGATTCGATATTTGACTCGATTCGACAATTGATTTGATAATCGATTTAATTTGATAATAGATTTAATTCGATTGGATATTTGATTCAATTCGATTCGATTCCATAATCGATTCAATTTTATAATCGATTCGATTTGATATTGGATTGGATTCAATAAGATTCGGTTCGATTATATTGTATTTCATTTTATTATAAAATATATAAAAATAAACTTATTTTAAACTGAAATTGTGGCTTATTCACAACAAATTTAGTAAATTTTATTTTATTTTATTTTATTTTATTTTATTTTATTTTATTTTATTTTATTTTATTTTATTTATTTTATTTTATTTTATTTTATTTTATTTTATTTTATTTTATTTTATTTTATTTTATTTTATTTTATTTTATTTTATTTTATTTTATTTTATTTTATTTTATTTTATTTATTATTTTATTTTATTTTATTAATAAACACGCCCGGCACTGCGTTTACTATTTCATTTATTGTTTGGTCACGCTAAGTATGTGGTCGCGCGATGTGTCGTTACAATAGTTTCAGTTTTTAGGGTCGGTTTTATTTTTTTCACACCTCAGAGCGATATACCCCTCTGTCTCTAGCCCGCGATAAGAAAGCTATGCCCATCGAGCAAAAAGATAAAAGAGGGAATCTAAGCGTTATGAAAAGGAGACCAAAAAAGTGGCCTCTGATGGCGGACATATCCGGAAACGCAAAGGCGCTAAATTTAAATTTTCCAATACTTGTTAACAATACCTGTAAAATATTTTTCAGACAAGAAAGTTTTAATTAAATATTAACGATAATAGTCTAAAAAGTGACATAATCGGTAAAAAAACTTCAATATAAATAAAATTTCATGTGACAGTTGGGACAAACAATAACATAACCAAACTAAATTTGATGTCAAACAAGGAGAGAGACTCTCTATCCTTGTTTAAAGTGGCCTCTAAAGATCGCACTTCCTGTCTAACAATATGTTTGCCCCCACTACCTTTACATTCCCTCTATTGTCTTTTTGCTCGATGGCTATGCCGCAGAATAATAAACAATCAGAATGCCCACTCTCCGATGCCGCCTTGGAAGTTTTTCAGCACGCGATCGCCATGTTTTAGAAGGAAACATAGACTCGAATTGACAAATTTGTGACAAGCTATGACAGAACCATAGATTCTGTGACAGAACTGTAATTTAAATTTTTAGAAATTGATAATTTAGTACATTTTAAATAATATAATCTATTCTTCAACTAAAAGTACGAATAAAATAGTGCATATTATGTCTGTAGTTGCCGTAAATAAATTAAACCGGGTTAATTTGTCTATGCACACCAGATAAATTTTCACTGAACAGCACTGGTTCCCTTTAAAACATGGCGGAACGTCTGCGAGAACGAGATACGCGTACTTAATTTTCCATTGAGAGTGGGCATTCTGATTGTTGATTATTCTGTGGCTATGCTTCCAAAAAAGTTGTAATGTCCAGTAGAGGAAATATTCTGTTTTCCTTTCCTTTTAAATCTTTTATAACATATTCATATATATATATATGCATATATATATAATGCATATAACATATATATATATATATATATATAATATATATATATATATAATATATATATATATATATATATATATATATATATATATGTTATATGCATTGTACCAACCGATGTTCCTTATCACGACGATTCCCAGGGTATCAGGTTCCACTTCCAACAACCTGAGCCGATAAGGATCCTTGCAAATGCAGTACCAGCAGAGTCAGCGGGACCCAAGCTTTTTACACGTTCCCACTGAGTCAGCATTTACTAATATTATAAAACCGCTTGTCGCTCTTAATTCAGTATTCAGTATATTTTTGTAGTTCATTCATTATATTTTATATTTCATTCATTTTTACCACGTAACTTTGATAATTGTATTTTGTAATAAATAAATTTTTTAAAAAGTCAAAAAATTGTTTCGTGATATAAAAAGTGGCGCAGTCGCAGTAGGATCTGGAAACGTTGGCAGAACAAGGAGAACCTAACTGACAACGGTGGATTCCAATCCTTTAATCAGAAAAAGAACCAGAAAACTCCAAAAAGCAGTGCCGCCCTAACTTTGCAGACATCTACGGAAGGAACACCAAGTGAAGCCCCTGGTAGATTAGCTGTCGAGAACAAGACGACTAGATGTTTTTGGAACTAATGTAAGTCTAATACTGAATCATCTCGTATATAATTTTTGTTTTATACCATTTATTACCATATGTTCGATATTCCAATATAAAATATTCATTTAATTAATAATTTTATGCCGAATTTGAATATTTTTTGATAATTACTTTAATAATTATAAACTTTTGGCGATTATTCTGTAAATCGTCAACTTTTTATTTTCATTTTATTAAACGATTACCTGTGTTGATTATTCTGCTAATCACACACTGTCACACACATTTCTCGTCCTGCTTCTCGTAATGAGAACCAGCCTGAAATAGAACCTTATAAATTATCTGAAATATTTTCTATCGTACCCGAATTTGAAGGCGATCAAATATTTTGACACACATTTTTAAATGCTTGTGATTATGCCTACAATATGTCTACGCGCGATCAAAAACAACTATTATTAGTAATTCACATTAAAAATAAATTACGCGGAAGAGCAGCGCAACTTATAAGTTCAAGAAATCCATTATCGTATCTAGAAATTAAACAGCTTCTTACCTCTCATTTTGGAGACACTAGAGACTTATCTTCTTTGATACAAGATTTACAAAGAGTCAAACAACTGCCAAATGAGTCGGCTCTTACATTCCTTAATCGTGTCCAAGTCCTTAATGCAAAAATGCACGCTAATATACAGAAATCTAGCCTCTCTGCTGTAGAAAAACAGGCCCAAATTGTATTAATTGAATCAATGGCGCTCAATACATTATTGACCGGCCTCGATCCAAAAATCGCTCATATTATTCGTGCTAGTAATCCAAAAGATCTTCTTGAAGCTCAAGTCCGCATAAGACGAGAGTTACAATTATCCTATTTCGAAATACAAAAAATCAATAGATCCAATCCTCCAAAACCCAATCAAAATAATCAACCCATTAGAAGACCAAACCTTCAAACACATAGATGCACATTTTGTGGACGTATGGGCCACTCGTACAATGAATGTCGTTCTCGACAAAATTCCCAAAATAATTCGCAGAATTCCAACAACTCTCATAATTTTAACAATTCTCGAAATTTTAATAGCCATCAAAACTTCAATAACACTCAAAGCAATGGCTTTCAGAGACCAACTTTCAGCTCAAATAATAATTTTCAAAACAATAGACACAATGACCAACAAAGACCTCAATTTACACCAAATCAAAATAATTCACAAATACGCCCTTCTGTAATACATAAGAATCCCAATTTTTCGAACGATAGGCACAGAGCTCATTTCGTTAACTATGAGCCTGACTATATTAACGACTATACTTCAGCTTTAAATGAAAGCTACCAATACGAAGATTTCTCTGATAATAATTATTCTCCTCCCGATTATTACCAGTCATTTGATCAATCAACCGATTTAAT